TGTTGAGACAATAATAACAGTTAGTAACCATTATGCTCCTTTCCTTTCAATAAATAGAGAAATTCAGAATAAATATACTTGCAAAATATCGCTGCAGGGGAAACTATCCATAATAACTAATTGTCTCTATGATTGACATTGACAGCTGTTTGGAGAAATTGGTAGCAGACCTCCAACTTCCTTCAGCCTCCACACAGCATTCGTTCCTTCGCATCTGTCGATAACCAAAACATGGGCGCTTGTCAGCTCTGATGAACGCCTCTTGCAGCAGCCGCACGGGGATTTGCATGTGGCTTCACAGAGAATGGGTGGGAAACGGTTGAAGTCAGTGCTGCAAACTGTGTGTGGATTGTTGTGAACCTTGTCGCAATTATTCGCCTTGGAGTCGTCCTCTTCTTCCACGGCGGCTGCGATCATATCACTGCCCACATTCACTTCCATCTGTGGGCCAGGATAGACATTCAGCCACATGGCGGTACGACTATTGTGACGCTGGGCACTGCCGGACGAGGAGGAGGCTCTGCAAGCCTCAGACTGCATATCACCACAGGCCAGTGTCTGCAATGGCAGTGGAGTGAACATCTGTAGATTCTGCATGGCGTCCCAGGAGGCAGGTACTGGACGGCCACTTCTTGGTTTGCTCAGCTGCTCAAAGTAAGTGTTTAGTAAGCTGGTGTAGTTCACATTGTCAGACCGAGGTGTACATGCCTTGATCTTGTTGGCATTTTCCTGACTGGGAGAGAGCGATCTTGCCGTGGAGAATGGCACTGCACTTAGTATTGTTAGTGCTATCAGTGACACCATCACCTGATCAGAAGAACACAAGCAGTGTAGTAGTACGTCAGTATTATGGTATGTGAAAACATTTACGGTATTGCAAAGTTACACACATTCTTATAAATTAATCCATGGCTCTCCACCCGAGTCTCAACGTTACGTGTACATACATTTGTATATTTCATTTTCCCTGACGATAATATTGAAGTAGCCTGGAGCACAACATTAATAGGTGAAATATATACATTCTACATTTACTTCAGGTATCCTTCTCCCTAAAGTATTTCTAATTTTGGGTCTCCTTCCTAAATAAATATCGCCTTACCTGCAGAACGGGTGAGAAGGATTGGAATCCGGAAAACATCTTAGATACCATGGCTATTGCAGTTAAACCTTTGGTTGAACGAAGTGCAGGAATAACGGGCTAGGATCGAATGATGTATAAACGTGGTGGTGACATTCCCAGAGGGTAAGGACCTTGCAAGTAGAACTGAAATAGGTCAGCAGAGATTGTAATACTTCCTCAGATTGTAGAAAGGTGGAAGTGGAAAACCAATTCTGACTCTCCATGGCTGCGAGTTCAGGCTTTTATAGAACTTCAGTGCGGAAGTATTCGACACAGCAGGCCGGGCCAAACTAATGATACAGTCATGATGACATTCACCTACATGATGTATGTTCCAGTTAGTATCATTATTCCACTGACGGCCGAAGGTATCCTGAGGGGAAGTACTTTGGTCAAAAACGACGGCACAGCCAAAGCGGATCTTTGGCTCCCACGTGCAACTGAAAATCCTGCCCCGGGCCGAGTAAAACTGGACCCAAATCCACAGAATATGTTAATTGAGTTCGTATGTACATGTATTCGTCTTTCGACTTGCAGAGCAATGAATCACCATTATTACCCCGATGTGGAACAAACCAGCCGAGCCACTCTATAATTATCGTTACAAGTGAACAATGGAGATGAGTACGCACTACCCACCTTATACACTGCAGACTGCACGCTGTATACGGTCCATAGCCGGCCTCGTCGAATGATTGTGTCCCCCGGACTTGGCACTGCAAAAGTCCGTACGTAGTCCGGCCCATGTACTAGTACATAATTGTATAGTAATAGTATGCACGGAAGCAAACACACGCCTAGCTAGCTAGCGGCGTGTACGTGTAGTGCCTGTCGACAGTGTACAGGCATTGTGCGTTTGTGAGTAGCACTTGGGTTTGGTGATCTAATGACAGGAACGTAATGTGCACGTGAGTGAGGAGTTGAACAGTAAAACAATCACCAAAACACCAACAAATCACCACTGCCACGGGCAATCTACATGTATGTACATGTACATGTACATGATTGTATTTTCGTGGCGTTGTCGCTTGCCGGCTGTACATGTACTCATTATGTGTCAACATGACTTACATGTACATGATGTATTACTTTGTAATACATGTACTGTATAGAAGCAACTATTAAAATCTGTTTTTCTATCAGTGTATCAGCACTGAGAATGTAATCACCAGTCCAGAAAAGGGCGAACCAGAACAAGATTCAATCAGCTGATCTAATCGAATCGGGACACCTCATTCCAATGCCAAGGAAATAACATCAGTACAATACTACTACTGGCTGGTATAACAATGTATTGGCGCAGGGAAATCATTGCACTACTGTGGCTGTGTGCTGTCATGTACTACTGCCCAATGACGGTGCCACAAAATGCCAAACTTGAAAAGGCACACGGTCACCAGCACGTTTCCTACCTAGAATGTGGCTGCTTTCTGAGTGTGACACTGCACTGCTAAGATATTGTAAATCTAATCTTCTAGAGCAAAGAAGTCGACTATCAACTGCAATAGAATGGCTCAGGATTCGTCAAGTAACTTTCCGGCGGGATGGACCCGTTTCATCTGTGCTAAAATAAAGACCCGACCCAATTTTGATGTATTTCATGTACTTCGAAGTATTCAGGAATGCTCTCCCCACACTCCACTTGATTTGAGAGGCAGTTCTTATTTGCCGTACGCTACACACACACACACACACACACACACAAACATACACACACACACACACACACACACACACACACACACCGTTTATGCAGCAGGCCTAACTCTTTGAGCACCTCTTGAAGATCACAGAGCCTCGTGTGCTCCTGCCTGATCCAGCATGCAGTGGAGATCATCTGGGGACTGGCCCTTCTCTACCAGCGACGCCCTTGTGCTAAGTCAAGTAACTGCAGAGCACACTGCATGATGAGCTCGAGGGTTACAGTGTCACCGCTTTGTCGTTGGCTAGTGCGAGACCAGATAGACGGCCGATGTACATGTATATGCCTAGCCCCAAATACCAGCGCAGGGATTATTTTTGGAAATTCAGGCCCAACCAGTCCGGGGGTCGCGACTGGGCGTGCGTCAAACCTGATGTCCCAGTTACTCACCTTTTACCGGCAAGACTAGGAAGGTTTGATTTGATGTGATGATCTTTGCCGGATGTTTACCCCCACCCCGTTCCTACCAACTCTTACAGGTATCTCAATCGATTGCCTATTGGTTATACAACTGAGTATTACTACATGCCAGTAGGGATGTAATTGTTTGTACGTTGGCGTGGCGTATTTGCGTTTGGTATACATATATGTACATGATTGTATTGTTCGAATCATGTTCGGGCAGGGAAAATGGAGCTCAAGAAATACGAGTAAACACGCATCCAAGGTACCAGTGCAAAAAAACACTGCAGTACATGTACAGAACGTTCTAATCTTCGGTGCAATCAGGATGTTGAAGTGTTCACACCCGTTGCAACTAGTGCTGCTTCCGCACTTCTGCACACTGCATGGGATTCTCCACAACTGGACACCGCTCTCCAGGCAGTAGATTCAGGGTTGATGATGATGAGCACGTGTCCTCAAACCCAACTCAGACCAACAATGTATTATGGCTTTATGCCGTGGCCATTAACATGTCCCCCTCCCTTTCTTCCTTGGGGGAAGTCTGGAGACTGAAAGGAAGCACCCAGGACGATGCCTTGGCTTCATTGTATGACAAGGGAACACAAACTTCAACAGCTTTGAAGGGTGTAACCGAGTCTCAGTGGGAGTGCATGTACAGTGTACATGTAAATGTATATTTGTACAATGTACTACAGCTAGCTAGGCTGTTCAGACTCCAATACAGTATTTACACCGGCGATGTACATTGTATACAATTGTATGCATCATAACCTATCCTGGACATTTCTCATCGAGGAGAATAATACAGTACATATTACTGAGAACTGCCTTGCATTGCAACCCCATTCAAATGGACTTTTCATGCTAAATGAATGAGTTTTATTCTAAACTATAAAGTACAATACATGTACATGTAGATTGTTTGAGGTTCCAGAATACCATCACTAGATTCTCGTTTCGGCACGCTCTTTTTACGTCTTGCTTGCCATAGATGGAGAGCCACACGAGCTAAACAACATTAGGAAAGAACACTCTCCACATTCGTCAGGTACATGTACATTGTAAATGTTTATAAAGTCTTGTACATGTATGCATAGACTGTAATTGTACTTCAAGTATACTACTGTATGTACATGTACATGTATTAGAGAATGCCCGTGTATGGGATGACATCGCCATGCACACGCATGCCATGAAGTGGACACGTACATGTACATGTACCTGTATCTGCTGTGTTGTTCGAGCAACAATAAATGCAGCTACACGTACTAGTAGTAGTAAGAGCAGATGACGAATGCCTTGGCAGGAACACCTGTAGAATGTTTGTACCAAAACAAGTGCACAAAGTGTACATGTACGTGAAATGATCCAAATCTAAGTTTCTACCGAGATAAACCTTTTGTAATGAACTTGGTGGCAGTTACTTGTGAAGTTCTAATTTTGTACTCGTACCTGGAAGTAGAACATACGCAATTATACATGTCAGCAGCAAAGAACGTATACATTATAACATACATGTACATGTACACGTATATCCAGTATTCAATGCATGACACTGATACTATCCCTTCATATCCGGCCTTCCCGGTACTTGCACTTACTACAGTCACTGAGAGGTGATTTTAGTTATTGTTTTTATGGGAGAAAACGGATACAACAAACTTCCATGGTACATGGTTTTGTATAAGCATGATGCAGCACTTGCATTTTCAGGTCTTGAGTACAGAGAAACCTCTCGAAACCGACCAGTCAAAGGCCCAGAACGCGGTCCTGTTATCCAGGACTTTGCTTTGGTCCTGGTTCAAGTGCTCTTCAGAACCAGGTGGTCGCTTTAACAGGTTTGACTGAATATACCGTATATACATGTACATGATTGTACCTTCTTCCCAATCAGAAAGTGAATCAATTCTATCACATATTCTGATTGTTTATGTGCCGTGGTCGCTTTACTATTTCATTGATTGGTTTGGACAGTACCGGTATACACTGTCCACTGTGCATGTACAATGTATGTTTGTGTCCTGCTGGTACTAGAACCCCAACTCATCCGTTTCTTGTTCTGGCATTGTTTCTGACCTTCAGACGTCTTCCTCAGGCGAATGGGTGCTTAACTTCGAGTGATGAATGGAGAAAGTGGACTAATTCCAGAGCGTATCAAGCCTCCAACAGTCCAAGATCAATCCCATCCCAAAATTAAGCAGGTGTACCTGGGGCAGGAATTGACCTAAGAATATTTATCAATGACCTGTTAGTATAGAGTGCAAAGTCATACCAATGGTGTAGGACAGAGAACGGACAGAGAACATGTAGTGAGAATTTCATGTACTACAGTAGCACAATGGACACCATCCCCAGGTCCTACATACATGTACATGTACATGTATACACTCATGTCGCTTGTACATACACATGCACTGTGTTGCTCAATGAAATCCAGTGGCGTCCCTCAAGTAAGCGCCGGGCGTTGCACTGCCCCAGACCTGCAAACACTGAGCTGAGAAAAGGTGCAAGGCGCAAAACTTAAGTGAAGAGACTGGGTTTCATGGAGCAGGACTGTACATGTACAGTCATGTTCTGCATGGTGCGAATGAACCTGACCTACAGTTACTTGTACATGACATTGTACGTCATGACTATTGTGCATGTACATGTTCATCACCTTCCAACAATGTTCATGGACATGTACATGTACATTATCTTTAGTCCTTTGAGGTGTAGAGTTCTGCTGGGGAGGGGAGGGGCACTCCACTAGTAGTGGGTGGTGGACTCCCTCGATAGGCATCCATTAGGCGTTAGCAGAGCAATACAACGCCTAAAGTTAGAAACAGTGCTATGAGAGTACGAAAGATAATAGGCAGTTTCAGTACATGTACTTGTACTTCAGTAGATGAAGGATTGTTATGCACAAAGTGTCTGTTATTTTTCAGTGTTTCAATAACAGTGTATTGTAGCCATGGGAAGATGAAGGACATTCAAGGCAAGCTGACTGGTTTACAGGCAACTGTCAACTTGGCCAACTCATGCCAGGGAAGTAATCAATTACATGTACATGTACATGTATATCCATGCACATTTATTATGTGTGTCTAGAGAATACTGTCATGCAGCCTGTGTGCGTCGAAATCGATGGTAAGGTGAATAGGGTATGGTTATCCGGGGAAAACAAGAGACTTCCACTGCTGAAAATACTTTTACAATCGTCATGTAATTGAATAGATGGTAATGTTTAACAATGTGAGGTGGAATAACACGAGTATATACTACATTGTACTATCAGCAACAGGCGAAGGGAGGTCAATCAGAGATCTAGTTCAAATCCAATCCTGGTTCCAGAGCAAACACTAGCTCTCGTGAAACCTCTGTTCCTACATGTATGCTGTTCGTCCTAGCAAAGCGCCTATGCTCACTCTCTGTACAATGTATTACAGCCATGCCCACTGCATCCAAAGCTAATAATAAAAAGACGCCCGCGATTGATAGAATTTGTTTGCGGCATGTGTGGGCCACTTGGTCTGAATGTCGTAACATATGGCCAAACAAACAGGGGAGGATATTGAATGAATAAAGACTTGAAGTGTCTTCACTTGTAAACTTGACACATGGCACTTATATCGGTGTCAGTCCGGTATTCAGCTGCTCTCCAGTACCTGCAGCCTCCAGGTGCCATTAATTTTCTACTTTGGACACTGAAGCTTGAAGCGCTAGCACGTCAAGCCTTCAGGACGTCAAGTGTTCTACTGCCAGTCTACTGTTTTCTAGCATTACCACTGGTGAACATGCTGCTAAGGCTACCATGAACTATACCTAAGCTGAATGCCAATGAGTCACTTGGTGTCGATACTGACACGGTCACACCATGTCCTATGACTACATGTCCATTATATAGATCGTATGACTTTCACTGTTTCAGTCCGTGTTTTTGCCCAAGGAACCAGCGACAATCACACAGGCACAAGGACCATGTGGATAGTGCTGATTGTAGGGGCGTAGTGGCGTAACGTTATGCAGCATTTTTGTGCGTATATCGTGTACAGTACGAGTAGTGGTCTTTACAGCTAGCCCTGCTTCAGTTTGTTATGTTGCCTGATGATTGAGTGACTCAAGAAACTCTGAGGAGCAACGGATATGTTTCGCTGGTGAGGATCCAACTGCTTTGTGGATCCGTGTGTGTGTGTGTGTGTGTGTGTGTGTGTGTGTGTGTGTGTGTGTGTGTGTGTGTGTGTGTGTGTGTGTGTGTGTGTGTGTACATGTACATGTATGTGTGTGTGTGTGTGTGTGTGTGTGTGTGTGTGTGTGTGTGTGTGTATACAAGCTCCGGTGCATCCCAGCACTGTTGAATGGTCTTTATTATTATTATTTGAAGGATTCCCCAAAGGCCGAAGCCTAAATCAAGGGGGTCTCCAAGAATAAATTATACTTGAACAATACGTGTACTTTGCGCCGGACGGGGTCACTTCTCCTGTGTGATTTGTTTATTGCGTCTTGAATTGTGACACACCTCCATGAGTACAATAATTTTGTCATGTTCTTTGTAGTAACCGCACAGCTGTTGGAGTAGGTACCCCTCAGCAACATTGGATTCTATGAATTGCTGAATTGCGCCTCAGTGCGCCCATGAATTTAGAATTGCAACGCCGGACATTGACCGTGGTTGATACTGCCTGCTGAAATTGATCGTAATTGATACCGGCTGCTGAAATTGGTGAAGCTGCATGTGATCATCAGCTGCCAAACTCAGTTGCTGGTATTGCATGCCACTATTGATTTGATAATGTCACACACCACAGTTGGGTAGTTCGGAAAATGTCAATGTTTCAGTGACACCCTCAGCAATATTCCGCGGCTCGCATGTCATAAACTTTGTCTACACGTATGTGTAATGTTATATGTACATGCACGTGTACATGTATATCCAGTGAAAAGTTCTGGGTATTCCCCAAAGGTCATACGGCGATTTCATCCTCCTCGTCCCTTTCTCATCCCAAAACATTTCTCCTCCAGCCTTTTACATAGAAAATCTTTGAAGATTCAGAATCGGTCATACTACTACTGTACATGTTGCTATAGCATTCAGCGTGATGTACATTGTATGCATTCACACTCAGATATTCATCAGTGGTTATTTGGTCATGTACAATGACAATGTACTTGAGAGAGTTGAAATTCTGAAGACAAAACAAATCGTCTTCACCAGGACTCGAACCAGGGACCTTGGGAAGCCAGCGATGCTCTAACCACTGAGCTATTTGTATGAAACCAGTACGTTTGACAGCTCCACATTCTCATCAGACTTGAAAACTCACTCTTCCTGTGAAACTACAGTACAGGGTAGATGCTCTTCTGTACAGGTGAGACTCCAGGAGCCGAGGTACATTGTATATGTATGTGACTGCTTATCCGCTTATCTACTGTAGTGGTAAAACGAATGTCAAAACCTACTACAGTCAACTTCGCTTATAACGACACTCGGCGGGGCATCAAAAAGGTGTCCTTATTCGCGAAGTGTCGTTATACCCGAAGTCTCATTATTATGTATTACAGTGGGATGGAACTTTGCTCTGGGCATGGAAATTCTGTCGTTATTCGCGAATTGTCGTTATATCCGAAGTCGTTATTAGCGAAGTTGACTGTAGTCGAATATTCTTCAGCTTAACGAACGAATGAACGAATATTCTTTTGGTAACACAGATTACATCACATGCCCTCCTCTCAGTCATTTGATGGATATTGTCAATACTAATATATTGTTAGGTATGACAAACGGTAGTGCCACGTAAAATATACTGCTACATAAGGCTACTTCGAAGTTCATAAATGTTATGTATGTGCAACATTGGCAGTCCAGTATGGACATACATGTACATGTGCATGCATGCAGTACAAAGTCACAGGCAGGCTGTACGCACTGCACTGTACCGTGTTCGGCGTCCATGTACATGTACATGTACATGTGTGTACATGCACTGCATTCGAAGTGACGTAACGAATACTCGAATGTGACTTAACGAATATTCGAATGTGACAAACCGAACGAATGTTCGAATATTCGTTTCACCACTACTATCTACATGGTTGTATCTCTTGGTCTTCGCGCTGATCACCGCGATTCAGTAGTGGCTCGTTTCAATTTATCAGGTAACTTTGCACTCTACAGGTCTTCTGAAAGTTGTGTTACTGTGAGAGTTACAAAGGATGTTCTGCATCAAAATAACGTCTTTGTGCTCCGCCCAAGTGCCAATACAATACAGCAACAAGGACAGAGTTGCATAGCCAGTGCATAGCCAGTGCATAGCCAGTGCATAGCCAGTGCTTCTCATCCTATCCTACATAATAATATTATAAGTGACGACCACGGTGGGTTGTGTCTGCTTTGCGCAGACTCGCGCATGCATATGTAAGTACATGTACAAAGATGTAGCAACGAGAATGCTTTTTGGCCTCTGTTGTTCTGCGTTGTGTATATGTATGTACATGTATATGTATGTCATTTCCTCTGTGCTGCGCTGACGAGTCCACAAAGGACGAAACAGTTCTGTCCGCAGATTGAGTATGTACATGTACATGTATGTATATGTATGTTAGCAAGTATTTCATGTTCATCATGTACGTACAAATACATGTACAATAGATCGGAGATTCGGAGTACAGCGAGGCTCAGTACAGCATGGCATCATCCCATCACGTGACCACCACCAGATGCAGAGTGTGAAGCGGGGTTTGAATCCCGGACACATACAATGCAGCAATATCTTGTAATTGTACATGTACAAGTATTGTAGAGTGGGCGAGATATCCTATGTATACAGTGCGCTTTAAACACACGAAGCATCATATGCAGAGTAGAGAACTCTTTTCCGAAATTACTGCTCATCTCTGCTGGGGTAATCACCAAAACAAACAAAGAAATGAATACAATTACGGGACTGCAATTGCAACGACAGACAGATGGGAGAGCTTCGACGATTGAATATCATTCTTGTTTCTCTTAGGGCGTAATTGATTCTCGAGAAACAGGAAGTTGCGCGAGGGAGAAATGTTTGCTTTCGTTCCCCACCATAACCCAATACGCTTCGCAGCCTGGGTGAACAAGAAGAGTCGACATGGTCAGACGGGTGAATCCAGCATGATCAGTTTCAGTTAGATGTTGACACAATGCAGTCGTCTGACCATGTACCAGCTGATTTCCGCTGGGGGTCGACTGGCACGATCCTGAGTGGTGGTCACAGGATGCTGGAGGAATGCAGCGTAGTGGTAATGTTTGTACTTGTGTGAATGAGGGACTCTACTTTTAATTGACTCCTGATAGCCCCTTGTATTGGCCTTGTGCTGCAAGACTTTTCTTTGAATCACTGTAGCTAACACTGATTGGGTGGAGCTGGAAAGGCATTTCGCGTACTTTGTTCAGGCAGTCAGTGTACCGTCTGTACTACATGCCCTAGCATATAATGTATACTTCGAAGTAATAATACAGTACTATATTACATGTATGTATGTGAGAGGAACTGTCCATAAGCCATCCCCAATGCCACTGCCACAGTTTATGTCTACTTAAAACATGTTCTGCAACTTCTGCTGCATTTTAATGCCTTGCTTGCAACATCATTGCAGTACGTACATGTACATGTATATGTACGTTACAGGAAAATACATTAGATCGCATTGAGCTGATAAGCATTGTTATCCTCGTGTACATCATCGACTGCATTTAAACTATATAATATACATGTACATGTACAGTGTACATGTAGTGTAAATTGGGCTGTCCTCCACCAAAGAAAATATATTGCATTGAATTGTACTTAAACGTTTTTCACATCCAGTCTGGCCAGAATCAAAGCTGGCCGGTATAGCGTCAAAGCAGATTGGCAAAGGTCACACTTCTGAAAGTTGGGGTTACTCCCTATCGACTCAGTCTATGGCCCATCCCCCAGTGCTTTTAGATCTGTTATTACATGTACAATCATTGTATGAAGTATGATTCTAAATAACGTTAGATATCAGTGACTTGCGTGCCATACTCCACTCGTGTGGTGGAAATGATTGATTAGCACTTTGGAAGATAGGCAGATGGGCAATTTAGCAAATGTATGTACTTGGGAATGAATGCCATCTCTCATTCTTGGTGCTTTTACCGCAATGACCCCGATACATGTACATTATATTGTGTAATTAGTACTTGTTATAGTTAGATCGGATTATCATAGATTGCCGTACATGCATGAAAGATAACTTAAAACATCATTGAGACAAGTACCAATGTTGAAACGATCACTTACTTTCTGACATACGTGTGGGAATCTCATTGGACATGACGATGGATACAATAGTCCACAAACATGGTCACCTACATTGTACATGTACAGAATGTAGTGTAGTGTGATTCACAGAGTACTCTACTAAACACTGCCATCCCCGCACAGCAGCGTGCACGCCACACCAGCAACCTCATTGAGTTGTTTGGACCTTGAAGTAAGTAAGCAGTTGAATTGGTTTCCATCAGTATTTAGTCGATGTCAGGGGAGGATTGTTCATTTGGGATTGTTGGGGCTTCAACTGCAACCAATAGCATGGCTAAACTATTTCAATCATTGTACAATGTACAATGTACATCTACTTTGTAGATAGTGGTGAGATCATACTCGTAGTCATTCTATTGGCATATTTTGATAAAGAGGTTTCTATCTGGACTGCATGAGTACAATAGCTATTACATTCGAAACAATGGTTATTCTCTGGTGGGAAATTCTTCCTGGACTAGCCGGTACTTTCCCAGAATGTGGTGCAGAGTTACTGATAGCTACATGTACATGATTGTATAGTATTTAGTAAATACTATTTACTATTTACTGTTATTATAGTACATTGTACATGTACATGTACGTACGAGTCGTAATATTTATATTTTTTCGGGGGTAATGGCCTCTTTTACGAGCAAGATAAAGTCATGTAGACGTGAAAAATTACGAGTAGTAATAATTATGAATACATGTCCTCCAGAGTGAAAGAAAGAGAGAGAGAGAGAAAAGAGAGAGAGAAAGAGAAAAAGAGAGAGAGAGAGAGAGAGAGCGAGAGACAGAGAGAAAAAGAGAGAGAGACAGACAGACAGACAGACAGACAGACAGAGACAGAGACAGAGAAAGAGAGAAAGAGAGACAGAGAGAGAGAAACAAAGAGAAGAGACGGAGAGATAAAGACAAAGAGAAAGAGGAGGAAAGAGAGATAGAGAGAGAGAGAGAGAGAGAGAGAGAGGGAGAGGGAGAGGGAGAGGGAGAGGGAGAGGGAGAGGGAGAGGGAGAGGGAGAGGGAGAGGGAGAGGGAGAGGGAGAGGGAGAGGGAGAGGGAGAGGGAGAGGGAGAGGGAGAGGGAGAGGGAGAGGGAGAGGGAGAGGGAGAGGGAGAGGGAGAGGGAGAGGGAGAGGGAGAGGGAGAGGGAGAGGGAGAGGGAGAGGGAGAGGGAGAGGGAGAGGGAGAGGGAGAGGGAGAGGGAGAGGGAGAGGGAGAGGGAGAGGGAGAGGGAGAGGGAGAGGGAGAGGGAGAGAGGGAGAGGGAGAGGGAGAGGAGAGAGAGAGAGAGAGAGAGAGAGAGAGAGAGAGAGAGAGAGAGAGAGAGAGAGAGAGAGAGAGAGAGAGAGAGAGAGAGAGAGAGAGAGAGAGAGAGAGAGAGAAAGAGCAAAGAGCAAAGAGCAAAGAGCAAAGAGAAAAACCAATGCTGCCGCATTCCTGGACGGGGTGGATATTATAGGAAGCAGGGTCCTGGGGCTTAGGTTTCGCCTTATTCTGGCCATCACTGCATCAGGTGTGTCATCTTGGAATCTGAGGTCTTGGTGGACATTCTCTTCATGATATTTGCCTAATGATTGTAGTAATACGTGAAACTGAGAGTTGTGACAATTTGACAAAGCTTCCACTCTCTCCTGTGTACTCTTCATGATAATCATAACATCCAGCAGCTCGAGGTCCGCCGATATGATAAGCATACTGGTCGGAAATACAGGTACATGTTTGTCTTGGAGTTGAACGAGAAACACACAACAGGATACAGCTGCTGCTGAAAGCAAACATGGCTGGTGTGTATTATTCCACGTTTACATGACATAATTGTACCGTACTCAGTATCTGTATCAATTTACATGTACATGCTGGCTGGATCCAGTACTGTAGTGTTTCGTACTTTAGTCTAACCAGACCAACCAGAGAGCCAAGACATTAGTTCTAACTGTTGTACTCCGATAAGACAAAGAACCTAGAACACATGCAATCTACTAGATATATACATACTGGCTAAAGTGGGAAGGAGGAATGGAATGCTAGATCATGTAAGTGGATCATGATGATGGGAATGATAATATCGGAATGCAAGTATGCATGGGCTACATGCATCTAGTCACATGACACTACACCTCCCTTTCTTTGAGGTCGTAAGAGCAAATATGGCAGTAGATTAAGAAGATGGAGAAGATACCTAACTGGACGAATTTGAAAATGAAAACAATAAGACCGTTGCAGAAGGGATCCATTACAGAGTTCTAAAAGCACTAGTCTGTCCGAGGGAGTATTCTAGTATAGTGCATTGTACATGTATATCCTCTCCTCTTACAAAGAAAAGACCTAAGGGTGTACAGAGGACACACAGGCACATGCAAGCCATTAGAAAAGAGAACGAGCAAGAGAGGGAGAGACAGAAGAGTGGAGTATTTTGTTTGGAGAGACCAAAGTTAGAAGCGATCGGGAGCGTGAACGACACGGCCGCGAGCCGTGACATACTTATCAGGCTGGTCTTGAGCTGGAGGGGTCGATGGCTCAGTGACGTCTTAATGCGGTCGAACGCAGCACACTGCTCTGCACCCCACTGCCACGGGGTGCCTTTGACGAGGAGAGACCTGAGAGGTTGCGTGATGGAGGCCAAGTCCGGAATGAACTTGCCTAGGTGGTTGGCCATGCCGAGCAGACGCCGGACGGAATGGACATCGGAGCAGGGAGAGAGCTCCTGGATTGCGTGGATCTTGTCTGGATCTGGACGGATGCCACAGCCATCAATCACGTGGCCCAGGAACTTGATCGAGGTGGCATGAAATTGACACTTCTCGCTGTTGAGCGTGACACCGGCGGATTGAAGACGGGCCAGAGCTGGTCGAAGGTTGTCGACCTCCTCCTCGAGGGTGGAGCCGAATGTGAGGACGTCGTCCATCATGCAGATGTTGCCAGGGAGGTCGCTGAGCAGATCTGACATCTGTTTCTGAAAATACTCGGGTGCCGAGGAGATGCCAAAGGGGAGCCGCGTGTAGCAGAATCTGCCGATGGGCGTGATGAAGGTGGTTAGTAGCTGCGACTCCGGCGCCAACGGAATTTGGTGAAACCCGCTGTTAGCGTCCAGCTTGGAGAATACCTTGGCATCACCGAGGCGAGCGAGGAGATGGTCCGTGGTAGGGAGAATGTGCCGTTCGCGCTTGACGGCTTTGTTGAGCCGTGTGAAGTCACCGCAGATGCGCACGCTGCCGTTTGGTTTTGGAACAACGACCATGCCGGCACACCAATCGGTCGGTTCGGACACTGGGCGAATGACGCCAGCGGCTTCCATGCGACGGAGGGCTTCAATAACCTTCGATTCCATGGGCAGAGCAACTCGCCGAGGAGTGGAGAGCGAGTATGGAGGAGCCTCATCGCGAAGTTGAATGGTGTGGAGAGGACCGAAGGTACCTAGGCCCGAGAACAGGTCAGGAAACTCAGCGGCAACAGGAGAGCGAGAGTCTGAAGCTGAGTCACCAGAGGTAGAGGTGGTCTCCAGGACGTTAGCAGGAGCAGGCAGGATGCCGAGTGCCTCAATGGCTGGACGTCCGAGCAGTGGAAGCTTGAGGTCGCGGACCACGTACACCTGGGTGGGCACGGAGTGAGACTGAGATGAGTGAGCTGTGCGCAGGTCAGCTGTAAACCGGCCACAAACATTGAGGCTTGTGTTGTCTGGGCCCCGGAGAGTACGGTTCGATGGGGCGAGCGAGATAGGCAAGTCCAGGGATGTGAACACTGTAGCTGGTATAGCAGTGACATCCGCACCCGTGTCGACCTTCATAGTTATGGCCTTGCCGTGCAGAAGCATAGGGAGATTCCAGCCTGTGCCGTGGGTCAGGGTGCCCAGAAATGCGTCAGCAGAACTCACTGCCGAGCTAGAGGAATCACTGTGGCTGGAGAGAGAATGGACACCTGTGCCCCGCGGGGACTGATGAGTGCCCTGTCGTGCAGAAGAACCGGAGGAACCAGATGGTGGCGAAGAGCGGCACACTCGTTGAAAGTGGCCTGTCTTGCCACACCCTTTGCAGGTTACACGACTTGCAGGACATCGTGCGCGGGGATGTGACTCGTATCCGCACCAAGGACAAGAATCAGATGATGGAGTCGAGTGGCGCGAGGAGCTGGGAGCATCACGCAGCGGAGGACGATCGCGACTAGAACGCAGCCGCCCCTGATCCTGGCGGACAGCAAACAACGACTGATCAGCTGCTGCACGTACCGTCGTTTGTTGCTCCTTGATGGCAGCGCTTTGGCGAGCGTGAGCCAGCGCCTTCTCCAGCGTCATATCCGAATCCATTTGCAGGCGTTCAGAAAGACGTGCATCTGCTAACCCTGCGATCAACCGGTCCCGGAGCATCTCATCGTGCATGGCCTTGAAGTTGCACCTGTCTGCCAAGCGGTAGAGATCGTTTACGAATGCATCTAGTGACTCCGTGGGCTGTTGGGTGCGCTGATGGAAACATGCACGTTCGTACACATAATTTCTCTTCTTGCCGAAGTGGGCAGTGAAACGCTCAGTGACTGTGGTAAATTTACTCACGTCATCCTCAGGTAGATGAAAGCTGTCCAGTAGGTCGTCAGCTTGCTCGCCCATCGTGTAGAGGAGGGAGTTCACCTGGACCGACTCCGGTTGGGTGTGAAGACCAGACGCCTGACGATAGCGGTTAAAACGACGCAGCCAGCGGTCCCACTGATCTGCAGCCTGGAAATTGAACGATGATGGAGGGGACACCTGTGAGAGGTGAACCATCCCCGGAAGAGAAACCTGGGCGGGCTCGGGCGCCGAAGAAGACGTAGAAGGCGCTCCACCGGAGGAGCTACCTGAACCACCATTGCTGCCTCCGCCACCGGCGGGGGAAGATCCGCGGGAAGCGGGTTGAACCGAGCTGGGGTCCGAAGAAGACATGGCTTCTGGACCGCTGCTACCATGTAGTGTTTCGTACTTTAGTCTAACCAGACCAACCAGAGAGCCAAGACATTAGTTCTAACTGTTGTACTCCGATAAGACAAAGAACCTAGAACACATGCAATCTACTAGATATATACATACTGGCTAAAGTGGGAAGGAGGAATGGAATGCTAGATCATGTAAGTGGATCATGATGATGGGAATGATAATATCGGAATGCAAGTATGCATGGGCTACATGCATCTAGTCACATGACACTACAAGTACCAAGTACATTGTACGTACAGATACCTTCATGATCTCACTGGCTTGTCCGATCTAGATCTACATGTACATGATTGTACATGTACAAGTATAATTGTGCATGTACAATCGTGTACATGCACAATGTACATACATGTACATGTAGATCTACTGCCGGATAGCTTATACAAAGCCTCTACTACATTATTATTATTATAAACGGACAGCTCAATGCATACTAGTACAGTACATGTAGTACTGTCGCAGTACTACATGTACTGTACTAGTATGAGCAAGGCATTCGGTAAAGTACAGCACCAGCTCATGATCCAAGATTTGTTTGACTTGGCCCTCTTGGGTGTATCTTGGCTTCCGAGCTATTTCACAGACCGTCGAGAGAGAGTACAGTCATGTAGTCCTGGCGAGTGGGGTAGTGTGCTGGGTCCTTGCGAGTGCCCTTATCATTGCTCTTATCATTGCGCGTCAGTGATATTGACGACAGCTCTTCAATTCCTTTATAATTATAAAATTCGACGGGTTCGCGTGCCGGGCAGGTCAAGAACAAGTTGTCGTACAACTCCCTGGTCAAGAACCACCTTTCCGCTTCCGTGAGACGCCACCACCCCATGATCAGGCGTCAGATGCGGGTCCTAAACGGTGGGGGAGGATAGATCAGATCCACCAACCAGAGGCCAAAGTCCTAAATCCCATTTGCTACATCCATGTTTTACTCATGCCAGGCCACGAGTTCCCAATTAACTGTGGGTCGAAGCACGGTTGGAAATATTCCTTCCGCTTCCAAGCAGGACTTGAACTTGGTACCTCTGGTTTCTCAATCATGGTCTTAGACCAACCCACTGAGCATGCCGGCCTTCAATTCCTTTATCATTCGCCCAAACTGATGAACAATAGAATAATGATACTTCAAGTACTTGTAATAATAAATAGAGAACTCGGATGTTGAGACAATAATAACAGTTAGTAACCATTATGCTCCTTTCCTTTCAATAAATAGAGAAATTCAGAATAAATATACTTGCACAATATCGCTGCAGGGAAAACTATCCATAATAACTATTAATTTTGTCTCTATGATTGACATTGACAGCTGTTTGGAGAAATTGGTAGCAGACCTCCAACTTCCTTCAGCCTCCACACAGCATTCGTTCCTTCGCATCTGTCGATAACCAAAACATGGGCGCTTGTCAGCTCTGATGAACGCCTCTTGCAGCAGCCGCACGGGGATTTGCATGTGGCTTCACAGAGAATGGGTGGGAAACGGTTGAAGTCAGTGCTGCAAACTGTGTGTGGATTGTTGTGAACCTTGTCGCAAATATTCGCCTTGGAGTCGTCCTCTTCTTCCACGGCGGCTGCGATCATATCACTGCCCACATTCACTTCCATCTGTGGGCCAGGATAGACATTCAGCCACATGGCGGTACGACTATTGTGACGCTGGGCACTGCCGGACGAGGAGGAGGCTCTGCATGCCTCAGACTGCATATCACCACAGGCCAGTGTCTGCAATGGCAGTGGTGTGAACATCTGTAGATTCTGCATGGCGTCCCAGGGGGCAGGTACTGGACGGCCACTTCTTGGTTTGCTCAGCTGCTCAAAGTAAGTGTTTAGTAAGCTGGTGTAGTTCACATTGTCAGACCGAGGTGTACATGCCTTGATCTTGTTGGCATTTTCCTGACTGGGAGAGAGCGATCTTGCCGCGGAGAATGGCACTGCACTTAGTATTGTTAGTGCTATCAGTGACACCATCACCTGAACAGAAGAACACAAGCAGTGTAGTAGTACGTCAGTATTATGGTATGTGAAAACATTTACGGTATTGCAAAGTTACATACATTCTTATAAATTAATCCATGGCTCTCCACCCGTGTCTCAACGTTACGTGTACATACATTTGTATATTTCATTTTCCCTGACGATAATAATGAAGTAGCCTGGAGCACAACATTAATAGGTGAAATATATACATTGTACATTTACTTCAGGTATCCTTCTCCCTAAAGTACTTCTAATTTTGGGTCTCCTTTCTAAATAAATATCGCCTTACCTGCAGAACGGGTGAGAAGGATCGGAATCCGGAAAACATCTTAGATACCATGTCTATTGCAGTTAAACCTTTGGTTGAACGAAGTGCAGGAATAACGGGCTAGGATCGAAGAATGTATAAACGTGGTGGTGCAATTCCCAGAGATTAAGGACCTTGCAAGTAGAACTGAAATAGGTCAGCAGAGATTGTAATACTTCCTCAGATTGTAGAAAGGTGGAAGTGGAAAACCTATTCTGACTCTCCATAGCTGCGAGTTCAGGCTTTTATAGAACTTCAGTGCGGAAGTATTCGACACCGCAGGCCGGGCCAAACTAATGATACATGATGAGATTCACCTATGTTCCAGTTAGTATCATTATTCCACTGACGGCCGAAGGTATCCTGAGGGGAAGTACTTTGGTCAAAAACGACGGCACAGCCAAAGCGGATCTTTGGCTCCCACGTGCAACTGAAAATCCTGCCCCGGGCCGAGTAAAACTGGACCCAAATCCACAGAATAGGTTAGTCGAGTTCGTATGTATTCTTCTTTTGACTTGCAGAGCAATGAATCACCATTATTACCCTGATGTTGAACAAACCAGCCAAGCCACTCTATAATTATCGTTACAAGTGAACAATGGAGATGAGTACGCACTACCCACCTTATACACTGCACGCTGCATACGGTCCATAGCCGGCCTCATCGAATGATTGTGTCCCCCGGACTTGGCACTGCAAAAGTCCGTACGTAGTCCGGCCCATGTACTAGTACGTATGTATAGTAATAGTATGCACGGAAGCAAACACACGCCTAGCTAGCTAGCTAGTGGCGTGTACGTGTAGTGCCTGTCGACAGTGTACAGACATTGTGCGTTTGTGAGTGCCACTTGGGTTTGGTGATCTAATGACAGGAGCGTAATGTGCACGTGAGTGAGGAGTTGAACAGTAAAACAATCACCAAAACACCAACAAATCACCACTGCCACGGGCAATCTACATGTATGTACATGTACATGTACATGATTGTATTTTCGTGGCGTTGTCGCTGCCGGCTGTACATGTACTCATTATGTGTCAACATGACTTACATGTACATGATGTATTACTTTGTAATACATGTACTGTATAGAAGCAACTATTAAAATCTGTTTTTCTATCAGTGTATCAGCACTGAGAATGTGTCACCAGTCCAGAAAAGGGCGAACCAGAACAAGATTCAATCAGCTGATCTAATCGAATCGGGACACCTCATTCCAATGCCAAGGAAATAACATCAGTACAATACTACTACTGGCTGGTATAACAATGTATTGGCGCAGGGAAATCATTGCACTACTGTGGCTGTGTGCTGTCATGTACTACTGCCCAATGACGGTGCCACAAAATGCCAAACTTGAAAAGGCACACGGTCACCAGCACGTTTCCTACCTAGAATGTGGCTGCTTTCTGAGTGTGACACTGCACTGCTAAGATATTGTAAATCTAATCTTCTAGAGCAAAGAAGTTGACTATCAACTGCAATAGAATGGCTCAGGATTCGTCAAGTAACTTTCCGGCGGGATGGACCCGTTTCATCTGTGCTAAAATAAAGACCCGACCCAATTTTGATGTATTGCATGTACTTCGAAGTTTTCAGGAATGCTCTCCCCACACTCCACTTGATTTGAGAGGCAGTTCTTATTTGCCGTACGTTACACACACACACACACACACACACACACACACACACACACACACACACACACACACACACACACACACACACACACACACACACATACACACACACACACACACACACACACACACCATTGACCATTGGACGCCCATCGCCAGAGGCGATGATAGCGATGCTACAGCAGAAGCCATAGCAACTTGTGCTGGGATTGCACCATTCAACAGCTTGCAAGGCTGAAGAATTGACCACCACTATTCAGCCTGGTCTACACCACACAGCTTTGAAGTGGCTTTTTTCTGGCCAGTGAATCCCTACTTTTTGGTCTTTTTTTTCTTACACACACACACACACACACACACACACACACACACACACACACACACACCGTTTATGCAGCAGGCCTAACTCTTTGAGCACCTCTTGAAGATCACAGAGCCTCGTGTGCTCCTGCCTGATCCAGCATGCAGTGGAGATCATCTGGGGACTGGCCCTTCTCTACCAGCGACGCCCTTGTGCTAAGTCAAGTAACTGCAGAGCACACTGCATGATGAGCTCGAGGGTTACAGTGTCACCGCTTTGTCGTTGGCTAGTGCGAGACCAGATAGACGGCCGATGTACATGTATATGCCTAGCCCCAAATACCAGCGCAGGGATTATTTTTGGAAATTCAGGCCCAACCAGTCCTGGGGTTGCGACTGGGCGTGCGTCAAACCTGATGTCCCAGTTATTCACATTCTATCGGCAAGACTAGGAAGGTTTGATTTGATGTGATGGTCTTTGCCGGATGTTCACCCCCACCCCGTTCCTACCAACTCTTACAGGTATCTCAATCGATTGCCTATTGGTTATATTACAACTGAGTATTACTACATGCCAGTAGGGATGTAATTGTTTGTACGTGGGCGTGGCGTATTTGCGTTTGGTATACATATATGTACATGATTGTATTGTTCGAATCATGTTCGGGCAGGGAAAATGGAGCTCAAGAAATACGAGTAAACACGCATCCAAGGTACCAGTGCAAAAAAACAC